TCTCTCTCTCTCTCTCTCTCTCTCTCTCTCTCTCTCTCTCTCTCTCTCTCTCTCTCTCTCTCTCTCTCTCTCTCTCTGTGAAGGGTTCATAAACCATGCATATTCAACTGCGTGCTCATTTCCGTATCGGTTGTGGTGTATGTGTAGCTGGGAAAGAGACCTCCTCGGGTGCATCGACGCCAAAGGTGATTGGCAGGGCTGCGACGTTCCATGATAAGTATTGGGCGCTCGATTGGCACCTGGGCATCAAAGTCCCCTATTGCGGCCCGCTCGTGTTCTTGAGAGATTCCAGCGGGGCTTACTACCCCTGCGGTGGAGTGAAGAATTACGCGTTTGATAAACTGGAGGTTGGTGAGGAGTACATGAGATTTCACCTCACCACTTGGGTCGACGCTGATGGTAACGAGGAACCGGACAACTACAAACAGGTGTCACTGCATTTGCAGAAGTTCGTCGGGTACGGCATACGGGCCGCTGCTATGCCTCCTTTTGATAAGTCGCGGAAAAAAGACGGATCGCAGGTTGTGATGCTCCGCCCTTTCGATTTTCTCAAGAGAATTAACTGCCACAAGGTGTCTAGCCATGTGTGCACGGTGGAAAGCAAATTGGCGCTCTCGGAACCCCTCATACCGTTCGATATTCAACTTGATGAGTTCGCATCGAAGCTCCGGTCTTATACATTGCAGGCGTTGGGCCAGGCTATTCTACACAGTGCGATCTCTGTTGGGTCGCCGCATGGCGGTGGGGACCCGGATGCTCGACAAATCAGCTCGGTGGGAATTACCGAACGTGATAAGGTCGTAGAGAAGTCTGAGAATGTCCAGAAGTCTGATCTCGCGCCACGTTCGCTAACGAATACGGTGTCCAAACGGTTATCGCCGGGTCTGAAGCGATGGCAAGGTCCGGCGGAAGTTTTGTCTTCACGTCATGATGGTGGCAGCGAAGTTGGCGAGGATCCTGAGAAGACGGCGGACGACTTATCAGCAGAGCAACCTGTGCTTGAGAGAAATGCTGAAGGGAACGAAGGACATGACGAAGACGAAGACGATCAGTTCACTGGCTACGACGGTGGTGACGGTGACGAACAAGGAGTCGGGGACGGCGAGGAAGGGGTGGAAGACCAGGACGGAGGGGACGACAACGACGGTGGGGATGACGAGGAAGACGGTGACGACCATCGTGGGCTCAAAGATGACGATGACGACGAGGGAACTAAGGTTCGGGGAGCGGAGGACGAAGACAGCTACGAAGCGGGGAGCGAAGGGGAAGAGGACGAAGCCAATGAACACGGAGTGTCTGTCAATGAGTCTCACAAATGCGCCGACTGTCAGAGGCTTCGCTCTGGAGACGAAGTCGTCCTCAACACACAGAGATCAGTATGCTCGCGGAAGAGAAAATCGAGAGCTAGTGGTGACGAGGAGCAGAGGCGAAGACAGTCGAAGTTGATAGGTTTGGCAACTTCGGAGGAGGCGTATAAGAAGGCATTGGATGCACAGTCGGCGAAGCCGGCGAAGGAAAAGCGCGAACGACCACGTTCTTCCCAACGACCAAAGAAGAAAGCAAAGACAGACGGTGGAAAGGAAGTTGCAGACTCCGGGGACGAGGCGGTCGGTGTTGACCCTCGAGATAATACGTCCAAACCGGAACAGTTGGTGTCGGATGCTATCGACACAACGAGATGTTTCTTTATGGAGTATGATGACGACGGCAATGCGATCGACCGGTCTGTTCAGGTGTTCGTAGATGTGCGCAAGATTTTGCCGAACCCAGACAACGGGGAATTCCAGTACAATCACAGACCCCTGAACGAGATGTTGGTCGCCTCCATCAAAGACGCTATGGAACGGCCAGAGAAACAGAAAGAGTGGGACAAAAACACCTTTCATTCTGGCTCCTGTTATAGAAGTCACGCGGAACGGGCAGAAACAGTGGCAACGTTTGAAACCCAAGGACTAGAGGGACGAGGATGTCAGTTCGTACCATTGGTACTCTGTGGCAGGCCAACACACGGCGGAAGCTGCGAAGAGGTTGGAGCGAGCGAACTCTCCCGCTGCCAGGAAATGGGGCGTGCGGTCATGGAAAGCGCGTGCGGTGTACTTCGATGATGACCATCCTGACGGGTATGCCTACATTTCCACATTTGACAACACGAGGGAGACTCAATCTATCTCTTCGTCGTTCAGAATGGCTGTCACCGCAATAAGAGGGTTGTGGGGTCATATGAAATGCCCGAAGGGCGATGGGCATCTGGCGAAAACAAAAGATGACAAGGTGGCGCAGCAACAAAACTATCACGCTTTTCTGCGCAAAGGCGATACGGATGACACCAGACACCGAGCTTTGGAATCAGTCGCTGAACAACAAATTTGTCCGTAATTGGTCCAACCTCTTGAGGCCGTTCATGTGCCTTGCCACCAATGGCAACGCAGTGTGGCAGTTGGTGAACCGGTTCTTCGACATGTGGGAGAAAGGGGAATTGCCTGGGCAGGATGGAGTCAGGCCGGTTGATCAAGAGGGGAGGCCAGGCGAGGCGTCCGGTGCAGGTCCAGCTGCCAAAACAGTGAAATGGAAAAAGGAACTGGTGCACTACGTGCAGTCGAACAAAAGTCCAAATGGGTACTATGTGTGTGTTCATGACCCTCCCGCGAGCGCTTGGAAAGTGTTCGGGGATTTCACTGCTAGGGAGATGGAGATGGCATTGGATTTGATTTTGGCAGGGAAGGTCGTTGTCACCACCGACAGGACTTTCGCCAAGAAACTGATGAACATGAACGACCTATACACAGAAGTGCGCAGGGAGAGATACATGGTGCGCATGTTAAACTACGTGCTCTTCAAGTTGGAACGCAGGGGACAACGTGAGTGGAATGACGATTTCTTCATCGAGTATGATGATATTATGAAGAGGTTTAAGCCGCACGGGTTGACGAAAGAGAAATGGGAGAAGAAGAAGATGAAACTTCCAGTTGAGAGAACGAACAACGTGCCGAAACGACTGGGGGGGGTGGATGAGGGAAAGTTGGGACAGGGGAATGTGGGGGGGTACAAGGTGACGACTGAAATGTATTTTGAGTGTCCGTACTTCATCAATCTGTTCCTGCATGAGATAGTGGGAGCAGTGAGCCAGTTGAAGGACGAGCTTCAGCGTGTCAACGCAAATGCACAACATATACTGTGGGATAAGCGGAAGTGTAATACAACGTATTTGCCTGTGTGCATGGCGCGGTTGGATGGGCTGCAAACGACAGAGGATCTGACTCGTGCTGCGAAGAAATTGAGTTGTCACCTTGCGGTGCTGGACCTGGCTCCCCACAATAATCTGGATTCATGGACGGAGCAGAGGTTTGTGGAACTTCAGCAAATGATGATGACTCTGTGTGGGACACATTGGACACTCATCATTTTCGGTAGATTGAAGGGCGAGGACTACATTCTGAGGAACATCTTCAGGTGGGGGGGTGGGAAAGTTCTTCCGGGCCGCTTGCGACGGCATCATGGCACGCAACCATCCTCATGTGTCCTTCTTGGGAATCTTCCATTGAGGAGCCGCGACTCAATGACGATTGTGTTGCACGACACGGGCAATGACTTCAAAAAAGTCACCGTCCCGTCCAAACGTGATAATGTGTTTTTTGACACTAACTACGAGGGGGATATATTCGTCCGTTGCACACAACAGCACATCGGCGTGGCCGGCGAAGACAAAGCTGTTTATTGGGTTTGGGAGAGACAACCAGCAAGAATGAAGGAGTTGTGTTCATGGTTTTCGAAGGAGGGGGAGGGTGCGCTTCTTCTGGGCAACGTTCAATCAGGGTCAGTTTGGGACTTGCTTCAATCTGGCCGTCATGTGGTGGCATGTGACTGCTCTACCACCATGCTCGAATATTGTTCGTCGTTTATTTATCACCTCGTCCATAATCCCGAAAGTCGTTGTCACTTCGAACGGCCCAAAACCCAGCATCGGCCAGACCGAGACATATTCCTGAAACTCGGGAAGAAGAGAGAATCTTTATGGAAGTACTTGTTCTGCAATGCTCCTGACACACGAACGGAGACTGATTACGTTGCCCGAAAAGTCGTCGCTCTCCAACACCTCTAGCGGTACCACGACGCTAAGATTGGTGCAATCGAGATATTTCTGGCACGTTGCGAGGACCTGTGGTTCGACAGAAAGATGCGCCGCATCGACGCAAGGATCTATAACGAAGCGTTGGAACCTGAAGACCGTTTCGATATAATGGACAATGAGGAGGATACCGATGATGACGAGATCGACCTGCCGCTGCCTGATGCAAGAAACCACGCAACTGACAAGAACATGCGCACCGGGGCCTTATCGGGGGGGGACCGGACGGTGGTTGAAGTCGGGGGACCAACAATGGCCAGCTGCAAAACCGCCCAGCTCACACATACGCAGACGTCATCCGCAGGAGATGGTACCGAGGCAAGCACTTCGAAATGGAAAGACAAGAGAGGCGCCCCAAGGTTTCCAACGCTGATGCGGCAAATGTTCGACCATGTCATGGAAATGCCAACAGAGAACCAAACTCGTGGTCAACATGACGATGCGGGGCCCGAGGAGGATGACATGTGTCAGGAGGATAATCCGCTGTTCCACATTCCAGATGACGAGGACAAAGATCTAACTCCTGGAGATGAAGTCGAAAGTCACATGAAGGAGAGCAAAGGAGGACCTCACTTTTTGGACACCAAGTTCACAGAGACCGAGGTGTACAAATGAGGCCATCACATCATATGGCATCCGGGTGTTTTTGAGCCATGTGTGTTTGATGGCAAATGGCACATGGCTGTCCGAGTCGGAGGGAAGTGGATATTGAAGAAGAGACTGAGCAGGAGTAAGTTCCTTGAGACTGCAAAGGAACAGTTGTTGCTGCGCATGCTGCAGGCAAAAAAGGGTGCAGGAGAGCAAGATATTAGCGAAAATGTGAACTCCGTATTTGAAGCGCTGCTTCAAAACAATCTTCTGGAGTATTGCGCTGCTTTCTATGAGAGAAAATCGAGCCCTTCACGAGGACAGATCAGATGGGCATTGGAGTGTCGTCAGACAGAACAAATGTACGACAGTGACATATTGGTGGGGTGCACTCAAGCCATGGAAGAGAATATCCGCAATGGGTCTAGACAAGGAGCCGTTAAGACGAGTGTTGCTGAAAAGGAAGCGCGTGAGAGGAAGGACGTCGAATGTAAAGAACAGGGAACTCATGAGACATCAGTCGATGAGCTACTAAAAACGCCGTTTTCTGAGGGCGTTGGTGCGGTGCCAAGGGAAAAGATGGTAAGTCCGGGATGTGGTGGGGAAGAGGCAGGAAATACAAAGGAACAGGGGGAAAAGAAGGCCACAACCGACGAAGATGCAGGAGATGCCGGAGATGGGGGTGCCCAGCGGGTGCCCAGTGGATTGGGAGACCCGCTTTCGGCAGCCAACACAGGCATGTCGTCACATGGAGGATGGAGTAGGGGGGAGCACGATACGGGAGATGCACTGGTATTTGGAGGAGCAAGCCCGCGGGACACTACCAAGCCTTTGGCGGATAACAGAGATGAGGGGGACAAACTTCTGCACATGGTATGCACTGGCTCTGGCTCGCAGATAGCACTAGACTTGATGGAGAGGGAAGAAGGTGGTGGTATGGAGGGAGTTCGTATGACACATGGTCGTGAAACGGGAAATGATGATGAGGAAGCTGACGGGGATGCAAACCTCGAACACAACATGGACGTGGACAACGAGGATGGATTGGGAAAGGAAGCTTCCTGCCGTGGCTGATCCGGCTGCAGCAGTTCGAACGTGATCAACTTGATCGAGCAATCAGGTGAGAACGGAGGAAAGTCACACAGTGAAGGAAGATCGTTGTCATCACCCGAGCCAACACAAATGGACCATGCTTTGCATGATGGGGCTGAGGGAAGGTGCGGTCCAAAGCGTGAAACAAGAGAGGAAAAAAAGGAATGCGGCGTGCGGCACTCAAAGAGAGGCAGGGAGAAGAAAGCAGCATAGCACACACGCATGTGCATGTATGTATGTCTTGCAGTGACGTGTGTGTGTGTGTGTGTGTGTGTATGTGCATATGCGTATGTTTTGAGCGTATATGTGTGTGTGTGTGTGAATGTTTCGTGTGTGTGTGCCTATGTGTGCGTATGTGTGTGTGTATGTGTATGTGTATGTATGTGTGTGTCAGAGAGTGTGTGTATGTGTTTGTGCATGAGCATGAATATGGATAGAAGGGTGTACAAGAGGTTCGATTGTCGGTGCTGAATGGAATATTCCTAAGTTACATTTATCATTCGATGACGTCGATGGACAAAAGGTGTTGGAACTTGTGAAACATTGCATTCAGTTTTCCAACAAACCATTTGAGGAGGACAGTTTATTAATTAAGTAATATTGTAATGGAAAAAGGATGGTGGTGGATCTCTCTCTCTCTCTCTCTCTCTCTCTCTCTCTCTCTCTCTCTCTCTCTCTCTCTCTCTCT